CTGGTCGGTTACGGCTTCCTCCACCACCAAGTCCATGCTTCCGAAAACAAACTATATAACTAATCCCATACCCGACTTGGAATGGTAACCGGACGAGAGGCCGTGGTTCGCCATATGGATAAGCCGTCTTATCGGCTTTCCTCTCCCCCGGGATAAATATGTAAATCCTATCCTTTCATCTAGTCCTAAGTTGACACAACCGCGAGTTGAACACTATTAAAATACAATGTAAAGAATTTTAAATTCTTGTCGTTATCATGTATTGAATATTGTGCGACAGCAAAGGCCATTATACACTGAAAAAGTCGGCTCTTTTAACAAACCGCGTAATTGTGGCGAATTTCCGATTTCAAAATTCGTTAAAATTCTGTCGTGTTTGGTTTTATTGCTTCTACGCAACGAGTACGGTTGCAATTGCACCTTGAGTCCGCAAAGTTTTTCGCCGGTGAGAAAATAGTCCGCGACCAATAATGGTTGGGAAACGCTGGTCTAAGGTCATATTTTAGTTCGAGAATAACTAGATCAGGGGTTCTCAAATTTTTTAAGCTGCACCCCCTTTTTAGAATTTGTCAAATCTCCACCTCAAAAATAACTAGCTAAAAATAAGCTACAAATAAAAGATAGTAAGGCGAAAGTATCTTTTATTCAAAAACACGCTAAAACAAAAAAAGCGGGCAAGTCAAATCTAACAAATATTTATTTTTTATTAGCTCATACAGACTGCACGCAATTTATTTGGATGTTTGTCCGTCCACTTAGTTCAGAACTAAAGACAATCAAACAGAAGTAAAACAACTTACTACACTAGACAGCATTGTGACGTGTCAGCAGATAAAGTAAACAAGCTCAAAAAAGTGTAAGTTCAAACATGACATATACCAGGGATGGCGAACCTTTTTCTATGAATGGGTATTTTTATCGCGGAACAGAAGAGAGTGGGTCACATATATGCGATCAATGTTTGTATCTATATGAAACAAATCGTATAAGTTTCTGTTGGTGTTGGCGTAGTTTTGGGCTTTACTTATGCAGCACTTCTATCAGGGACTTTTTATGGCTTTCGATTATATGAAATTGGAGTACCAAAACACGCATATGAATTACCAAAAACGTTTAGGATGATGCGGCAAATTATTTTACGGTTTGTAAAGAGTTTGGATGGAATTCCACTCTGATAGTGTTCTCTTTTTAGATCAGTTTTCAACCACATTAAAGCACTTTTACACTGCCCCTTTGTTATTTTAGGTTTCTGGGCTTTTGTTTTAAGTCTGAAAGATTTTGTTCTCTTAATTAACGACATCGTAGGCGAGAAACTAATAAAATACAAAGTAGCATCTAGTTCTCATAAACGATCCTAAACGTCATAAACGATGTCAGTGCCAATAGCTGAATAACGGTTCACAGCGGTGCAGACATGCGTCCAAGATTAGGGGTTTTGAAAATTACCATACCGGCCCGAAAAAGTACCAATTTGAATATGAATTTATGGCCGGTTTTATCAATTTTTAAAACTGATATGTTAGAATTTTTTTAAATTTTATTCGTGCCTTGGCGGGTCACGAATAAAACGCGATGGGTCACTTTGTGACCCGCGGGTCAGTGGTTCGCCATCCCTGACATATACCATATACAATTCAGTAATATAGACCAGGGTAATCCAAACTCAGGCCAGTGCCGCTCTATTATCTATAGCCCTGTATATGGCCTTGTATACGCATGTAAGAATGTATGTTTGCAGTAGTGTGTGGATACGAGCATAGTGCAAACTATGAACCGATTTTTCGTCTACATCAGGAAGGTCCAAGGTTGTCGGCCTCGCGGACCACACTATTATTTTTGTATTGTTCGTGGGCCACAATAGTGCCAAGAATAGGAAAACAGTGCAATACAAAACAAACACTTTTATTTTCCAAACCTATTAATCATTATTCGTCATTTATCAAGCTAAAACATGCACAAACCAGCCAAAAGAACATCTAGAACGTGCAAAAATTTTACTATATGTACATCCAGTGTAAGATTTCCAGCTTTTCATAACAGAGAAAGTGTCATACTGTCATAACGAGAAATGCCGTTTTAGATTGTCACCGAAACAACTTGCAGATTTATCAAGCTGGCATTGTGATATTTTCCCTCCCATATCCAGTCAAAAATCTGTTCGAATTGGTCAGCTTTCTTTTCAAACTCATGTTTACATAATATCTTGATGACCGGTAAAGATTAATTTTTATGACGGAACAACTCCAAATGCGATGGTTTGATGTTTTTTTGGCTGGTTTGTGCATGTTTTAGCTTGATAAATGACGAATAATGATTAATAGGTTTGGAAAATAAAAGTGTTTGTTTTGTATTGCACTGTTTTCCTATTCTTGGCACTATTGTGGCCCACGAACAATACAAAAATAATAGTGTGGTCCGCGAGGCCGACAACCTTGGACCTTCCTGATGTAGACGAAAAATCGGTTCATAGTTTGCACTATGCTCGTATCCACACACTACTGCAAACATACATTCTTACATGCGTATACAAGGCCTAAAACAGGAGTAGAGTGAAGTGAAGTTTTTTTTTATTATTTTATTTGATTTTTATAAATAAAACAATATTGTAATAAACAATATTAACTGATATCAACAAAAAAGTAATTTATCACAATGTATAATATTGCAAAGAATACTATTAATCGATACAAATACCAAATACCGGAACTAAAAGTGATTTCTCAAAATGTACCATAACCTTTATCAAATGGTCTTGCAGTGTAGAGCTATGCTCAAATATATGGACACGTATCGTCACTCAATGGCAATAATTTTGATGACGTCATAGCAAAAAAAAAAGAAATAGCCTTCTGGAGAAAAATTTTATCTTTAACCACTGAAAATTTCAAAGCAATAGGTCCAGTATTCGAAAAACGTTTTTTTTTAAATGATGGAGACAAACAATCATTGAGACAAATAGCAATAACAACATAATATTGAAGCGATCGTTATGTCTACTAAACGTGTCCAACAATAGGAATGTAAAATAAAAACCATGTATGCATTCAATACCACATTTAATAAATAATTTAAATGCCAAGAAATCCCCATTTTTCCCTATGTATGTGTATTTAATCTTTTTTTAGAGCCAATATTCTTTCATTCTCTTTTATAGTGTCAAAAAAATTATGAAATTTTGGTATTCGTTTACCGATTTACATTTGTAAAGATAAAATCGACCAGCAAGTAAAACACAATTACATATCATGTCAAAGAATTTTCTACAGTATCCTAAAAAACATTAAATCTTGGTATAAGCGAAATTAATGCCACTTTTATCATACATCCACTGGTTCAATTGCTCCCAGAATATTGATGAGTAAATACATTCATAAAATAGATGATTGACATTCTCAACTTGCACATTACAAAAGTCACATAGATTAGATGTTACTAATTGAACTCATATAGAATATTATTTAACACAATTGCCCCATGAAATAATTTGATGTGAAAAGATCTGAGTTTGGTTTCTATAGTGAAAAATATGCATGGAGTGAAGTGAAGTGAGTGATGATGTTTGGGTTTCAGACTGTCAGCGCCATCTTATGGACTGTTAGTTTCATCCAACGAGCTGTAGAAAACTGACATTCCAGATGTTACCGGTACCTGTAGTCTGCTATTTCAACGGACTCCATTTTCTTATTTATTGTACCGATCTGTCAGGTAGAGCATGGGCAAAACAGAGTATGTTTTTTCGAAAAACAGCATGCGCAAAATGCTGAATTCTGTCACTTAATCACGTACTCTACCCGTAATAGTCTACTGTAAAACATTGTGAAACGGAGGAAAACAGAAGAATAGTCTATAGATAGATATAACTTATAGTTTATTTCGAAAACTCCATAAACAAACATAAATTAAAAATGGAGAATTCTGGAGGACGGGCAAAACCTATAAAAAAGTTTAAGACCTGAGAAGTACCGGTATCTCATGTGCCTGCCAGAATCTGTAAATCTTACGGTAGCCTATGTACGGTACCGGTACCGTACCGGTAACACGATGACTCTGGTACCGGTACCGTACCGGTAGTCTTTCGTGGCCCCGCGTCAATTGCGGAAAAATTGTATGTCTTTCCATTTCAATTGATCTTTTTGTTAGCATTTTTTACTTATTACTTGTGTCGCTACAATATTTCATGCATGACGGAAATAAAATATCTGAATCCGTCAGGTTAACGTTACGGCACAGTGCAAAACAGAGAGAAACAGCGCGTAACATAAAAAGTGTTATGAATACCGGTCCCGGTAATGCAATAGTAATAAAACAATGATACAACTGTAAAATATAATCGAAACTTTGAATGCATTTGTCAGTTTGTGTAGAACTAGCAAAAAATTTGAGCTAACTGTATCAGCATATAAAAGAAACGGAATATTTCCAAGCATAGAAAGTGCATGTTCCCTCTGGTTTAGTGTCGGAAAGTATAGGTAGCTATATTTTGATTAATCTCACGAGGGTAAAACAATTAGCAATAGCAAAATATCCTGCCTAATGAACATGCTTAAATAACTGTAATACAGTATTGCGCAATAAAATTTTGTGCCTTTATAAGGTTTTGCTTAAAAATGACCGATTTCGACAACTTCGGTGCGATAGCCCCTACCATACTTATTTTAATTACAACATATCTTATTATTAAGTTATTGTAGTAAATAGTGATAATATGTAGCCCATCGCAGAGTCTGAGAGTTGTTCACCTTCCCCGGTATACAGACATAGCACTGTAGCATCATAGCATAGTCAGATGGAGATACTATTCTTTATACCGGTACTGCTGTATTTTGTCGAAATATCACTTTGCTGTTTTTTTTTTGTAATCATGTATCATTCTCTTATTACTGTATCTTAAAATACTAAAATGTTAATCGTATAATTTGGGAACCATTGCCAATTTTTTGCATTTTGAATGGATCAACAACATGACAACTATCTGACTATATTGGATAATTTACCATGGATACACTCTGAACAGTTTTAGTTTTGGAACTATGTCTTGATGTTATCATATTCGGGCAAAATCACATCTTATTTTTTATGCTGAGCATCCCAAAGATATGGCTGTATTTATTTAATCTGGGTTCAAAATAAAAAGAACGAAGCAACAATTTAGAATTCAAAATGAAAAACAGTGTAGAACCATCTACTTCATCTCCTACATCTGGATTTACTGCTTTTAAAAAGAGTCATCGTTCGTCATCTTCATCTATTTCTCAACCACCAAGGTAAATAGAATTTCAGGATGCTGTCAGTGATCATTAGGTACTCATTTAACTGCAGGAATGATGGCTGGCAAAATAATCGAACTGATGAAAAGTTGTAGATGGAAGAATCATCCAATTGGAATATAGTTAATTTGCGATATTGAATGTTGGCTAACTTCAAAATGAATTCAAATAATGAATTTTGAAGTTTAGACTTGGGATGTTTTGAAATGATTAATAAATAATATTTCCTTACATTTGCTAACTTGATAGTGAAAAATTTGGTGATGTCGAACTTCTATTAATGAATACTTAAAATATTTAGTAAATTCAATGTAATAGGTTGCTATTCCAAGTATTGTTTGATTATTATCAGAAGCATTTGATATTTATTGATAATTTATTCTCTATATTAGATAATTTATTATAACTCTTTACAGGATACTAAGTCCAACAGCTGGAACTGCAGAAGGAGGTGCAAAATTTCCTCGTATTGATGAGTGTGCTCATTTCCATTATGAAACTGTTGAATGTGGCACCGTGCATGTAAGTGTCATTATAATGAGTATATTATACATCAAAAAATACATTAAATCCCATAATTGTGGTTTTGTTACTTTTCCATAAATAATGCTAATCTGCTAGAACTAATCTAAACATTGTTTTTCATTTACCCAAATGTAGATATGCTAAAAGAAGATTGAATATTTAATCTAATAATAATTTTTTGTCTTACAGTTACAGTTGTTAGATGAGCCACCTGATGGGACAAGATTGAATGGCAATTCAGATACAAAAATAGAACAAGCTTATTGGATCAATGTTAAATGCAAGGTATATCGATTTTACAGAAGATGTTATTTTAATGAGTAGTGGGTGGCTAGCCCCATTTTTGGTTCGTTATTTTATAATTATAGTTGTGGATATCTAATCGTGCACCGTTTTATCAGAGAAATAAAGTAGTATTCATTGTGTCTGAATAGGCTTTGTGTGATAGGATTAACTTCATGGTCATTTGGTTTTATAAAGTTGTTGTACATGTACCCCAACCACTACGCCTTTGTCTCTCTCTGCCTTTGTGTAAATAGATCCATGTGCAATTATTGTTAGGATACTTCAGCAAAAATCATGCCTTAGAAGCACTTGATATTTATGATTGTTGTCATATCATTAGCAATGATTGTCAACTCCTGTTTGTTATATCAACCCCAATTGAAATGGTTAGTTAGGGTTTACTACCTGATTAGCAAATATGGCTTACTTCTTCGAATTGAGCTCAAACATTTTCCAGTCATTACTTTTATTTACTCAGATAAATATCTTCACTGTTTTTAACAGGGCAAAGAATGGGTTATCAAACGAGTTTTAGAACAATTTAAAAAGTTGGACGATTTACTACATGAATGTGTTTATGATAGAAGATTTACTCAGCTTCGTGCATTGAGAAATTTGAGTGAAGACCATCCACCTAAGGTATATTAAATTTAAATATAAAATATTTAAAACATAATTATACTCTTCATATAAGCTGGCTTCAGAATGTTACTTTCAGACTACCAGCCTTGTTGACATTCAGTAATAATTCTAATCTAGCTTTATATCTGCTAAATACGTCCTTAGTTTTTGATCTCGATTCTATATTAGGGAATACTTGAAAATCTATTTATGAATTATGAAATACAGGATGTCATTCACAGCCAATTGTCGGGTGGTTTTGTCTGAAGTCAAAATCCCTTTTCAAGTCAAAACAATACAAATGGAATATTATCAAAGAGAATATAATACATATATTGCCATAGGAAATGTATAATTATTTGCTTTATCATTTTAACAACCAGAAATTACTAAAAAACAAACTAGGTATAGCAAAAGGATGAATTGGATGTTAGGTTTAGGATAGAGCCTACAACCAGTGTATTTTAGATGAAGCCTTTATAATAATTGTGTTTCACTAGTGTTCTGTGAAATACCCTCTGATGTTCACATCAAACTGCTGTTTTACGTTTTTTAATGGACGTATTTTATGATAACAAATATACATATAATCAATTGCACAGGGGTTCCTTGAGTCTCTGGATTGTTTATGACGATTTCGCGGCGAAAAAAAGGTTGAAAACCGCTATAGTAGAATATCAAAGCATGAAATTAGTTTTTAAGCATACATTTTTTTTTCTTTACAGGCTCTTCACGAGTCTCTCAAAAAATATGTCAATCGCCTATCAGAGTTGCCAGAAAATCAGATGTCATGTGCTCCTGTGCTACATTGGTTCGACATGGACAACAAAGGTACGAAGCTGGTTGCAGCATTACGAGAAACTGCTGATATTAACATACCTGCAGTTGCAGCTGCACATGCTATTCGACGATATACAGCACAGTCGGCAGATGAACTGTCATTAGAGGTAATTATGGAATATATTATGTTATTATGTAAATTGGATAAATAGCCTTTGACTTAGCAAAAATAGTGCAATGTGTTAATTGCTTGTTCTTCAGATTTTGTTTCTGCCAGACTAATTACTTACCCTTCTTGTATGCTTTTAAGCCAGTCTAAACGAACATCTACCACAGTGGTTCCCATTCTTTTTTTCAAGCGACCCAAATTAAAAAAAATTAAAAAATTCTGTCGAATATTGTGACCCAAGAATACGCTTGAGTACTAAATAACGAGTAGTGCTTTTATTGCAGAAAATTTAAATTGTCAAGACAAAACAAGTATTTTACATACCATGTATGTCGCACTTTTATATTTTTGTTGAAAAAAACATGCTACCTAAGAAGAATTTTTGGCAGTCCATCTTTGAGTAGCGACCCATGCTCTGAGAAACACTACTTTAGATGAAAACTTATTAAATGAATCAGAAGCCTTGCTGTCATTGAAACAAAACATCTTCTTGACTTTAGTCAGGTGAAACATTACAATAAATACATTTTTGTTAGTGTGAAGCAAGACTCTTGAATCATATACAACAAACAGTTCTGCTTTCTTGTTAGCATATGTAGCACTAACAATCAATCTTTGATAATATATTGTACATTAAATATTGATTTATCCCTTCATTAGATGTTTGTTTATCAATGCTTTTTGCATGATCAAATATCATAGATCAAGCTTAACAATAACTGAATGTTGTTCACCAAAAAATGTACCATTTTACATATACTATCACACAATGATTTAATGATGTGTTTGATAGGTAGATGAATTTGCTTGAATAAAAGCTGTAGCCATATTATTTTTCCTCTCATGTATTGAGACTATGCTTTGTCACTTTGTGCAATAGGTAATGAGGTACTGACACTATTTTTTTCCTCATTCAGAAGGATGTATTAAAATGTTAATGCCCTGTTGAAAAGTACAATTCATGCCTTGAGGGTATCAGTGAAAAGTAACATATTTGTTTACCTCTATTGTTTATTGCAATGCCGTTGTGTGGTTATGTTGTTTAGACTAGCAGAGACTTTTTTTGCTGTTATGGTGTTTTTGATTATTTTTGTTGGCTATTAATACTGGTATAATTCACTGTCTGCGACTTGCTTTCAGTATGTGCGAAACCACAGCATGGTAGCGTACGGTACTGGTATTTTTGATCAGACAGACAGACATGTCATACCAATGTACCATACAAACTGTAACCGCAAACCGGTCTAGTAGGATTTAACTTTTAATGTTATAAAAACAACTCGAAAACGTTTCCAATAGTACAAAACCTTCGCTCGTCACATGAAATACAATCAGTTTCCTTCGGAAAACTAAAAGGATTAGCACATCATGACTGTCAGTACGGCGAACTGCGGTCAGAAAACGCTACTCGCGCGTTCGCCAACACAGTGCAATGAAACGCAGGCTCCCGCAGACGAATAAAATAAAAAACAAACCAAAAAAATATACTGCGGTGAGTTCGCACACTGTCGTGTATACCGGCCTTTAGTGTTGTACATAAAAATAGAGGGGAAAAATGAGCGATTTTTCTGAAAAGGGCACATTTAATTTTCCCAAGGTAATATTTTATCCTATTTTTCCATATGACGTTTGGGTGGCTTTAAGCAGCCACTGATATGTATGAGGCTACCATTTCTCTAAGGGCTAGAAGTTGCCCAATTCGACTTTCTCTACCCCATTTATTGCACTCTGCGGTAAATGATGTAGGCTACATGGGGCTTGAACTTCAGATCTGTAACCAGCAATGCCAACATGTTTAATTCCATTGCTTTAAATACAAGGTCGTCGATAAATACTTCGGAAAACTTTCTGATTAACTGTGCAACATTTATTGTGTCCATGTTTACCTCGACATGCTTGATGTTCTTGGTAATCCTTCAGCGTTTTGTATAACTTATACAATCTAATGCAATTTGTTATATAGTTTTATGCAATCACCAAGATGCTGGCCGTGGCGTGTATTGGTTCAACCTGTTAATATTGTGATATTTTGTCTCAATTCAATACTCACTTTTGGTAACAATGTCTGTTTATCTCCTTGCATTCTCATTGTTTTATGCTTGGCAGATTTTGGAGCCCAGCGGGCTATGCCTGTAACATTGCCTTGCCTACTGTTCATGTTCTTATACTAAATTATGCTTTTACCATATCAGCTTACTACATTCAACAATATCAAATATTTTTTACAGGTTGGAGATATGGTTTCTATCATCGACATGTCAGATTCAAACTGGTGGAGAGGGAAATGCTTACTTCGTGTCGGTTCGTTTCCATCTCAGTGTGTACGAAGAATCAGTGATGCCAAGCAAGCTGATGAAGTACCTGCTGCAGTAAATCTTCCTTCATCCCCAATTTCTTCATCTCCTCCGAATTATTTAAATACAAGCAAAACAAAACCAAGTGAGTTACATAGGTTTTCATCAACTGTATTTGATATTGTGGAACCAATGTATCATAATAAAATACTATAATGCTACTGATAGTGGATTATTAATTATCTCAATTAGGCTATTTGATTTCAAATATATTAGATGTGATAATTGAGAAAACTGAATTTTTTAATCTAATAGTTCATGAAACTATTTTTGAAATTGGTATTATTGTGCGGGTTAGGGGGGTATCTTTGTCTGATAGAATTTTTCTCTACATCTTCGAGATATGTACTTTTACATTGTCTGGCTATTTGGTATGTTGTTTATTTTTTATACACCTATAATCATAATATCATAATATAGGCCCCTAATAAATGCTCTGGGTAAAAGAATCTTCCACTCGTTTACATTTTAACTTATCTTATTATTCATTAGTCTGTTCTACTTTATTGACATTCATGTTCAAAAGTTAATGATCTTAGTTAATTACCGGTAGATCATTCATATATCATCGGGCAGAGAATTCAGAAAGCGAAAAATCAATAGTTTCCAGTTTTTTGGTATTCTGGACATATAGCACAAAAATCATTCAAACATTTGTAGACTTAATGAGGCAATTATCTTAATAATATGGACCATTCAATTACTATTTTTTCATTTACCATACAATGCAAAATGTCCTCATTGAATTTGTAATTTGTCTGCTATATCAACATTTCAATTTCCATGATTAACTTGTATTCAAATGCAATCATTATTCAATTGCTCTGTAATATACAGTCATTACTCTTTAATGAGTTCTGATTATTACTGTGATATGTAATTATCATATGAATTCTGTTGCATTTCGACATCTGGTGTATTGACATTTCACATCCTGACCTCCCAGTTATGAATAAATAATGAATGGTAATTGTTAATGTAAGTTAACCGTGTGGCCATGTTCAATATAGTCATTTTGGAAGTAAGTTCACAATTTTCAAGTGAGAAAGCTATTTTAAAAGAGAGCTATTTCAAAAATAAGACATATACATCTAGTACTTTTTAAGCAGAATTTTTTGCAATGGACATATTGCTAAATGAATTCGCTGTATATAAAAGTGAGTTTGTTATTTAAATTTGACCTAAACTAAGTAACTTTCATGGTTCCTGTTAAGATTGGAATATATCGGCATCATATTTTGCCATGACCAAATTTACTATTCCAAATACTTAATTAAAATAATAATATCGAATATGTATTCTCTGAATTTAGAAATGCAAGACAGTTATGATAAACAATAATTTGATTAATTTTTGTTTCGTTTTGAACATCCCTGGAGTACAGTATATATTCAACAAGAGAACATTTAAAATGAGTTGTCATTAAAAATTACTTTGCATTGTCAATCTATTTAGTTATGGTGTTTATAGTTGCCAATGTTTTATTAAAGTCAGTTCCTGATTTGATTTAATAACCACTTTGATTCCTTTGTTCAATCATTTTTGGCATCTCTCCAAGGTCCAGGCTATGCACCTGACAGTATGTTAATTACCGTTGCAAAACTGTTGGACAGCATGAAATATGTCTTTTGCCGGTTCAAATTAAAAGTCTCTTGGGGATATCATGATGAATAATATGGTATCTCTCTCGTTGCATCCTGGCTTCATTTACTTCCGAAAATTTTCACTTTATTCGTTATTATCTATTGGTAATTAATAGGTAGAAAATGAAACATACTATTATAGGATTTGTCATAATACTATACATATATTACTATTGTTGTATGTTACAATTTTACCCTCTTATATGTCATGCTTAAAAAAGGGCCCTCTTAAAATTTTAAAAATATAATGATATGAAATTCCTATTTTCATGAGTTAGTTCTTATCTTCTTCCTAAACAAGACTCTAGAAAAACAAAAACTCAGGTTACCCTGATTTGGGTGGATCAGAATTTTCCACTTGAGCTTACAGCAGCCAATCCAATATTTTTAATCCTCGTTTGTTATGGCACTTGAATTTGTGATATTGATAGATTTGTGTAGCTAATGCAAAATGTTTTATTCTCCTTGTTACTGTAGAATACTTCTAATGACTAATATATAATTTACCGTAGTACATTTACTGATACACCCACGGCAGAGGTATTGTCATAATAAAACTTGGTAGCATGATATTCAAATTGAGTTATCTTCCTACGTTCTAGAAAGTTGTGATATGAATCTATGATAACAACCTTATTACTTTCTTATGATTCAGTGATCGGTTGTTTCTTGTTTAAAGTCAATGATAAAGATGACAGCATGATTCCTCGTATAATAATCTTGTATTAGAAACATACTCTCCACTTCAACACCACTCAAGTTGACCGCTGTCTCTCGTAATACTTCATCGCTTTTGGCTCTTCCCTTCGGAGCATATATTTATTGTACTTGTCTATGGAAATGCACTCAAAATCAAATATAGTAAATATTATATGTGGTCTATGAGTGTTTATATCATTATATTTCTTTTATTTTTGAATTCATTATGAAGAATTTATCGTCAGCCATCGAAAGCCTAGAAATCTTCAAGCCTAAAAATCTTGATTTAAGATTGGCCCTTGTAAGAATGAGTATAAATAACTATAAACTTCAGTTCGGATTCAAAGACTAAAATATTGACATTATCGTAGGAAAGTACATCAATATTTCATTGGTCTCCCCTAAACTAGCTTAAGTTGGACCAATGTCAAAATTATAGTGTGTGTACTGTTTAGTGTTTAATTTACTCTTTGCACTTTTTTTTTCAAATTTATCCTGGATAAATATTGTACATTTTTATTGCCAAGTATTTGATACAAAACTCTATGTAAAACGGCTCTTTTTCTGTGTTCGAAGTGGCTTTCTGTTATGTAATAAGTTTACATATCAATAGCAGTGATTAAATTTGAAAGTTTCATTCCCAAATACTTTTGTGTTTGATTCATTTGTAATTGCTTCGAATTGATTCATTTTAAAGCATATTTGAATATGTTTGGGGGTACAGGGTGACCCAGAAGCAGCCTAATTACTTCCACGAAAAACTCATTTAAAATTCGAACTTCTGTTTGTGTATGGTGGTACCACAGAGTTTCTGTAATCTAGGACGCTTTTCATCATATTCATTTATAAAAATAAATGAGTATAAATTTGTTAAATAATAATTGAAAATGGCATAAAATGGTCTTTGTTGACTGAATTTATTCTTCTTGTTGATTCCTCTTTTAGTTGCAATTTTTATTCTTAAATATCCCTTGCTTTTCAGTTGTAAAGAAACATGGGAAATTCATGGACTTTCTGCGATCTTTTCTTGTCACAAGACCAACAAAATCAAGGTTAAAACAAAGCGGAATCTTGAAGGAAAGGGTTTTTGGTTGCGATCTCGGAGAATATTTACATAATTGTGGCGATGAAGGTAAAATATGTGAATTTATTACTTTTACAATTAATATTGTTCCTAAAAAATTGTGGTGCTAAATACTAAAACAATACTTTTAACAATATTTGTAATATATAAAGATAAAGTTAAATAATTGACCCACTCATTTATGCTCTCTCATTATACTACATGCATTATTTAAAACAGTGATTTGAACTTGTTTAAATCAATATTTTGATTATACAGTGATACTGCGGTAGTCGAACATATTTCGTTCAGGATTAGTGGTACTACCGATTCGATCGAGTACCGAAACTTTTTGCCCTAAAAAACAATGATAATTATTTCAATTCGTTCTTACGCATTCCAAAATATTAGCAAAATGTGTACTAACAACAATAATTATTTATATGTGTCTATATGAAAGAATAAACATTAATAAAGATACAGATATAAAAATTTTTGTATCAGTTACTGTCTGTTTGAGCAAATTTTTATAAGCTCTTCTATTTGTTTGTGGTGACGTCATCAAAAATTGCGCATTTTTGGCGGTGTCCATATATTTTGTCTTTTTTGTTCTTTGTTTTTTAATAGTGACATTTTCTTCATTTGTCTCTTACTTAACAAAACCGAATTTGTAAAGATCTTGCTTTATTCGAAATTAGGCATAATCGTCTTTGAGTTTATTCATTCAAAATTACTTGCCGAAATAATATCCTATTTTACTATATTATTCCAGTTCCTGTCGTTGTCAGAGATTGCACTGATTTTGTTGAAAAATACGGAATTGTTGACGGAATTTATAGGATATCAGGTGTTTCTTCTCATGTACAAAATCTTCGTCATGAATACGATTGTGAAAGAAGACCTAATCTAAATAGAGATCCAAGTGAGTATTCTTATAAATAGCAAATGGTGATTTGCAATTAAGTGGAACAGAACAAATTAGTGACCGCTAGCCTTCGTTATCTTTAAGCAATTTTTCTAATCGTAGAAATATGGGAATTCAATCTAGGAATAATAGTTGCCAAGATGTAATTCGATAGTGTGTTTAGTTCATAAACTGAATTATTCTCAATTAGAAAAAACTATCCAAGACTTCATATGGTGGGTTGATGGTAGCAAGACAGGTTTGATAATCTAGTCGATTTCCACAGATACGCAAAAAACATGATGTTGCCTAAGCATTATCAACAATCAAAGTAGGCTTGCATTTTATTTTCTCGGATGCAGATGCTGGAGTTGGATTTAAAAAAGTTTCTAGATGATAGGCTGGGATTGACTGCACTTGCTCTAATTGGGAATTGTAACTGAGATTTTGATTCATAATGACCCAATATTGCCATCTTCGAAATATATTTCTTGGTCAAGTTAATGTGGAATCATATTGAACTAATAAATTTGTCATTTTAAATTTTTAGTTCCATCTTTTCCTTATTCACAGGTGGCCGGGGAGAACAGTCTTTCTGTGATCCACACAGTGTTGCTGGACTCTGTAAACTTTTTTTTAGGTAAGTTATAATTGTACAAGCCTACCTAATACCAATTAGTTGCACAACCATTACATAAATATCAGTCGGGCACAATCTAGCAATGCACCCACTCCTTAGTAAAAGTCAATAGGTTCTACAAATAATAAATTTCCTAACAGTCATCAGCCCTCCTACTCCAATACCTGAATGCCCACAATTATAATAGATTTGCAATAAGAAAGTATGATGTATATTAAAGGATAGAAAACCACTAGCAGGGATGGCCTAAACCCAATCTTTCACTACAAATGTGGAATATTGAATACATTCTGAATTAGGGGCAGGTTCGTATGGAAAATTACATAAATCACTATATCTTCATGTTGATCATATCTAAAACAGCATAAATATAATGGTCATTGTTTTCCCTGTGTTGTTATCAGTTGGGATCATTGTACATTTTTGATCTGCTTTTCTGGTAGCTCAAAATCTCTAATTTCAAATATAAATATTCTAAATTTTTCCAAAATTTAGCAATTTTTATATCGGATATAATGAATTTCAAATGTACTCAAATATTTGGACATTCCTGTTAATATACTATTCCAATATATTCTGAAATTTTATCTTTAAATATGAAATATTGCATATCTCAAATTTCGTTATAGTCATTAGAGAACATCTATAAATTAATTTAAATTCATAGATATTGAATTTGGTAATGTATGTAAAAGTCAACATTAACATTGTATCTATTTCATTTCTTCAGGGAGCTGCCAAATCCACTGTTGACATACCAACTTTACAATAGATTTGCAGCTGCAATTAATTCTTCTGAAGACGAACGATTGTTAAAAATTCATGATGTTATTCAACAACTACCTCCACCACATTATAGGTATGTCATGCAACTTGCAGTGTGCGGTCCCGGCAGGGAGAAAACACTTTGCTTTATGATTTGGCACTTTGGCTTGAGCCAAAGAAAAAAAGTTCACTGGTTAAAATACCGGTATGTTATTAGCAAATTTAGAATTTTATGTCAACCACTTCATTTAAAGTGTAATAAATTGTTGCTTGTCTGGTGTCTTATTTGGAGCAAAAAAGTATACATCTCACAGGGATATAACATCTGATATAATGTTGATAGCAAATCTAACATGTAAATTATAAGCTCATTGCGTAATGGGCCACAGTCATGGAATATTCAAAATACAAAAACACATATTTGGGTCTCAATACCAAGTATGTGTATTTATGTACAATATAAATTGATTATTATTATTATAAATCATTATTTTGCGAAAACACCAGATTCTATGAAAAATTGAACATTGATTAATTAAAGAACATTAATTAAGAAATTTAGAATCAGAACTTCATTCTTATATGCCAAGTTGAAATCAATATCAAACTTGAAATTGAATATATATTCCATTCTTGTCTATTTGTTAATTGTAATAGTAACGTCATCATTATAAGTGTAATAGAAATTAAATTTCATACATGTTTCATTACGTCATATATATTTTGTCTGAAGTATTCTTTATTAAAATTTTCGTTCATCATACATGGGGTATATATAAATATATCAGTAATGAGGTGTTTTATCATTGGGCCACGTTTGGCTAGTTTTAAGTTAAAAAGAAATATTTTAGGACTGGAAAGTGGCTAAATATAAATAGCTTCAGGTTTAAAATCGATTCATTTATCGAAGGTACATTTGGGAAGTCTGTCATGCGTTTATTTCTGAGAATTGGCGGATCGGAATGTCGTTGATACTATTATTGGGATTTGATCAATACTTGAATTGAAATGGAAATTTTGATTTGTGTTACTGGATTTGTTGTCATGAATACTTTATTATATCGTAATACTAACCAAATACTAAATCGATATTTAATTGCGTACGTTGTTTTATATTTTAAATAATTATAGTTGCTAATGTTGGATAATTTGATGTTCTAGACAAATTTCCCCTTTTTAAAATATCTAATTTCATCAAAATTGTTGATACTTTTTGCGACCCTCCAGAAGTGTGTGTATGGAGGTCACTAATTTTGATTGCCTACTTTACACCAACGGGGGTATGGTATATTCACTTAGCTAACACAGACAGTCCCCGAATTCGTAATATAACTAAAATAAGGAAATCTGAATAAAATTTGTAGCTAACCCTAACTTGGTACACACATGACACACTACGGAGGTACCCATATTGCATCAATATTATTCTACATTTCAAAAAGTTAACATAACTCATGATTTTCCACACAAAAAAAGCAATTTTTTTGTCAAAATTGCAAATTTGATTATACAAATTCAGGAAAATTTTTATATCACTACTATCAATTCCTTATCAAACTATATCAAATGATAAACCTTGTAACTGATAGATTAAACTGATTATGCTTCTCACTACAGGTGACCATATAAAGTGCCAATGGCATAGCTAGGGGGAGGGTTTGACGTTCAGACCCCCCTTTTTTCAAAATGTAAAAATTTCAGACCCCCCCTCACCCACCGGAAAATTTCTAGCTGCGCAGCTGTAAAGTGACGCAGCCTAATCAGTTTAGTCCAGCCACACTCAACTCATTTTCCCAAAGATACTGGAATCAGAAGGCGAGCCAACTTGAAAAACTAAAAGATTTTATTTCATTCATTAAATACAGTAAGGTAGGCCTTCTTAAAATTTCTGATTTTTTTTTTTTTTTACAGAACATTGAAACATCTGACACTTCATTTACAAGTGATGGCAAATCAGCATGAAAGAACATCAATGCACTGTCGAAATCTTGCGATTGTTTGGGCACCAAATTTATTGCGATCTAGAGATTTAGAAGCCGGTCTTGCTGCGTTTACAGAAGCTCGTGTACAAAGCGTTGTCACGGAATTTCTTATCGCTAATGCAGATCTCCTCTTCAGTGAAAAATTACAAAACATGCAGTATGATTCATGTAAGTAAATAACAGAATTTAGGAATTTATTACAACAATTTGTATATGTCTTACACTCTGAACAAGGCTCTGTATAAGTGGTCACTATTACATCAGGAGTTACTTTATTTTGGAAGAGCTAGAATCTTGTGATTTATATAAATCAGTGGTGCTTGAACGTTTTGTTTGAGTGACCCCAAATTATCAGGGACAAAAGTCGCGGCGCACTTATGCGGAAAAAATACTGCTTTTAAAAAACTCAATTTTGGGTTAATGTGTACCTCATGCCTTATCAAGTTTGTAAACATGTAACGTAGGTCTAAGGAATAAAGGCAAAAAGTTGGGTGGGGTATGCATGGAATTTGAATCTGGGTCCAGCGCTCTAACCCCTGGGTCTGTGGTCAGCAAACTGCCTTATGCGCACATAAATTTATTATGCCGTCAAAGGAACTTGCTACTAATGCATTAACCAAAAATTGCTCATAAATTTATAATTATCTGCGAATGAATGCATGTTGTAACAATGGCTGTTGTACAGCGTATGTTTTATAAGAAATAGCATATATGCGAAAATTGTCAATTTTTATGCCGTTCACTTGTCGAACTTTCCCACCTTCAGTTTAAATTAACACAGGAATAGGAATTGTGGGTACACTATGAAGTTTATCCTCATGAATGTTTATAGATGGAAATTAACTTGGCAGGCCTACTATGAGAAACGTGTATATTTGGCCCAGTAATACACAAAGTTCAGCGTGCTGACAAAATTGTTGCTAAATTGTTTAGCGCTATAAGCCATTTGTCTCATCGTATGTCCCGTCTCTTTTCTGTTATAGCAACTGCTTAATCTTGAATAGCCTTTTATAATCGCTTTTTGTATTTTAAAGTGTTCTCTTAAAGGGTTATTGAGAACTCTCTATGGTTGGCTTGTTGAACCGCAGACAATGGTTGTTGGTGTTATACAAGTCCACTAAAGTTTTTCCATATTGGCCTCATGAGGAAAATTATTTTCAAATTATAGGTGAACAAGTAAATTGTTATCCTTTGAGATACAGTAAAGATCTGGTTGGTGTAAAAGTTAAATTACATAGTCTCAATCCTCATGCTTTACAAAGGCAGTTTTTTAACATTAGATTTGGAAAATTGGAATCCTTGTTTGCTGAAATTGCCCAATACGATGTTGGAATTTTCAATTTGTTTTTATAGTACTAATGTTATGCACTGGAATTTTAACACTCATTTATTTATATTTTATATGGGTATTACCTAGATAAGAAGTTCTGGTGTACTAGGATTACCAGTCCTGATCTGGTATTTCTATATTTTTTAATTTTTATTATTTTAGGATATATTAAATTATAGCCATATTGATGATATTGAAATTGCAAAAAATGGATAAATAAGATTGTAATTTATAACAAGATCCGCTTAGAAATTAGTATGAGATTTAGTCCACATGCTTCAAAAATCGAATAACTGGCTAACTATCAGTAATCCCATGCCCGACATAAACTGGTAACAAGGCGAGAGACCGTGGTTAGCCGAATGATTAAGCTGTCTTATCGACTTTCTTCTCCCCTGCGATGAATATGTGAAATTTCTTCCACCCCTTTTAATTTTAGGATCAGACTATTATTTTCAATTTTGGTATTATGTTGTTGTCATTAAAATTATTTTTTCGAAGTTGCTTTGAAAAAAATGCTTCTCATCAACTACTGGACCAATTGCTTTGAAATTTCTAATGCATTTTTTTCGTGTGATGACTGATAACGTCGTAAAAATCGAAAATTGCGGAGTTCTGTGACCGTGTATTTGAGCATTGCTTTCTTGTTAAATTTTAATTAAATATTATGAGAAATTGATACTAACACCACAGTCACTTGAAAAACCCTATTTGTGCATTACTGGGTAAAAAGTTTGTGTTGTGTTTATGGTACTCCGAAACAATTATTCATAGAATGTTACAGTTGGTCATGGTTTTACTGATTGCAATTTTCTTCTTTCAGCTCGAGGACAGCGACCTCCTCGGCCGAAATCACTGATGGTTTTATCTGCTCCTAAATTAATCAGTTTGGAAGAAGCTCAAGCAAGAAGTAAAGCAGGAGGAGGTTTCTCTAAGCCAAGTAGTGGAGATTTTGCCAATTCTGTCCGCAGAGAAGGAAACGATGTTTATAGAAGGTAATTTATTATTTTCGGAAATATGTTCTAACTGATAGCAAGAGTATGGGATCTGATTTCTATAGAAAACTGTTTGGAGAAATTTAAATTTTCCACTAAGGTCATTTTTATATACCTGTAATATTGGCCTTCAAATGCTTCAATTTGATTTTAGTGTTCCCTGACATTACTAATCATAGATGGTCAGAACAAATTATATATATTTGAATACATTTTTTATATGATACTTACTTGCACCTTTCAGCCAAAATAGGTTGTAATTGTATTGCTATCTATAATAGCTATTTGGATTGCAATATACTTCTATTTCGGTCTTGTCAATTTTTTTCATATGAATTTTCTATTTCTCCATCGTTGAGAAATGTATTATAGTTTATTCAGAGCTATATTTTGAGCCAAATGCAATTTTTTTTTCGGCCATTCTTGTTGTGGCAAATGCGTTTAGCTATGCTGTCTGCTATTACGGAATAACATTCGTTTGCTACTGAATATAAGAATGACTGCTGTGTTGTATAATCAGCTATGTGTGTTTGTCTTGTCCTATTCATCCTGTACATTCTTTACCTAACTATTTAACAAAAGCATTAAAATGGCTGTTATTACCATCATTAACATTTTTCTTTTGTTTATGATGTCATAATAACTACTTCATGCATGATTCACTGCAAGGTAACCAATGCGAGTTCTAACGCATGGTCGATGATTTTGACCAATTTTTGTTTATTGCACGATTTTCAATTTACAAAATAATATGGGCTCGAAGAACTGTGTTGTTTCATTATTTTAAAAAATATAATTGAATTTAATTTTTATGTATACAATTTTGTATGCTTCAATATAGCTTGCAACATTTTCGTTATTTTTCTATGAAAGCATTGTGTCCCTGCGGCATGCTGCTAAATTTTTTAGCAAGTGGAGATAAATTTGAAAATTTTTAAAAATATATAAATACGTTCAACTTGTTTTCGTCACAATTTTTCCTCTTTTGCCAATTTCTACCCTTAAATTGGCCATGCCCATGACTATTCCTGAAAATGGCTTAAAGATCAAAATGTGATAAAATCTATTTAAAAAACATGGCTGGATCTCAAGAACAGGGTTATTCCCAATCCGAATACTGATAAACAACCATTTAACCCCAGTCAGATGAAAAGTTTTTGTTTGTTTATGTTTCGCTTAAGTTGACGCCTGAGAAAGTGTTTCTGACTCATGTTGTCTGAGTACATTACAAATCTGTGTTTGTGTTGCCCCTTTATTTTATGTAGATTCTATACCCCATTTAGTCCTTTTCCCTACTCTTTTTTCTTAATACTACAATAATACAAAGCTTTGCTGGAATATTCTTCGGATATTGAAATGTTTGAAACGAATGCCACAAGTTGTGCCTGTTATAGTTTTTCTATATGTAGAACAATTGATTTTGAAGTAGTATATAAAACATTTCATGAAGTTTCTGTACATAAATCGAAGCACTGGTACAAGGACTGTTCTAGCTATTCCAGGTCGTCTTGCGGTGACGATTCTTGCTTCCATTCTCAACACTATGAGTAATTTTCATTTTGTTGATGTCACTTCACGAAACGTCAAAAAAAAAAAAAACGAATCCCACAGGAAGTTTTGAAATAAATAAAAGTAATCGCTTTTTAGCGACAACCACTAATGAAAATTTCAAAGCAACTGACTCAGTAGTATCCAGTAATGAGAAAAGTGATTTTTTTCATAACAAGCAAAATACAAAATGACAAAACGATCGATCCAAAGTTCTACTTTGTGTCCAATAATAGATTAACCGTAAACTTTTTAAACTCTTCTGCTCTACTCTATGTATTACACAAATCATGACTTATTCCATTAGTCAATAAAATAGTGGTCTGGAATTGGTAGTGAAATATTCGTAATTCTGCTTTATTTCTACACTCGTTATATATACTATTCTTTATTTTAGTATCGGTGTAAAATTTATTAAGCACCACAGAGGCAAATTTGTACTTTTCCTGTGCAGGAAAGTTCCAGGTCTTGATAACGAACATAAAAGACGAAACAGAAGGACGGCGTTAAGCGCTATATTAACTGACGGGGAATTGCGCAGAAAATCCTCTGAAATCTGATTCTTACTTTAATAATGTGTGCACTGTCTTTTGCAAAACTAATTTTTTAATCTCATCCTTGAAACTAATATTGAAAAACTAATTAAATCCATGCATTTTTGATTTCAACTTTTAGTTTTCTAAATCTTTGATTAAACTTTCGCCTTTTATCTACTTGCTTTACTGATTACAAATTTCTTAGCTCTTTATTTTTTTAGTTTTATTTTCTATTTTTTCGACAGTTTCTATAGTCACTGCATCTCATCTCAGCTTGGGGAACAAAATCGTTCATTTACATATAATTTATAATTTTAACTTTTTTTTTTCTAAAAGTAATAAAGGTATTACCTATTGCATGGAGATACTTAATTATTTTGCATGTCACCTCTTCATTTTCAGTTCCTTACGGTAATCCACCTCCTGCTTGATGCTTCCCATTTTCTTTTTCATCTTTATTATCACTTTGACTACCTTTTTGGTTACTAATTCTATGTGTGAAACTCGTGCATGTTTGTTAAAATTGTCCAAGTTAGTAAAAGTGGCAGACGCGAGCAATCCAAGTGTGATATGATTAACAGCCTCTGATAGAAGTCCTAACTGAGGAACACTAAGATTGTTATTTAGGAAGGAATAATTAAACACAAACTCAAATCTCAAATTTAACGACTTCAGAAATTTTAAATGAATCGTAGTCACGGATTTGTAGTTTTTTTTTCTCAAGTTGACCTAAATAATTTTTTCTGATATTTCTGGGATTTCGAACGACTTATTCAAACTCTCACATTATTGTAACAGTAGGTCTATCATTTTTGAGGTTTACTTGTAATTCCATATGTAATAGCTAAGATATAGAAGCTAGTTAATTACTATAATAATCTGCATGTTTAAGTAGTGATAGAAATAGAGGCTTTTCAATTAATAAGAGGATTGAATAGTCGCATATTCCCCATGAAATATCGACATCATATTTATATTTGTGTAAGTAAATTTATTTAACTGCTTTTTCCAGATCTATCTTCCTTTTTGCATATTTAATTTTTGGGTTAGTTTCAAACTAAATTTTTGTCAACTTTTTGAGGATCCCACATTTTCACAGCAAAAAAAGTTGATAGAGAATTATTGGATAGTGTTACAATGTCACACTCGTAATTCATGTTGCCACTGTGTTTTGACTTTTTTTCTATTGCAGTCTCTCGCAATTCTATACGTATTTATCTATGAAAACAATATTCTGTTTAAAAGGTGCAATTCCTCCTTGAAACTGTTTATTTATTTTTTATATAATATTTTTTTCAGTCGGAAAATGTCATCACCACCAGGATTTCCCCACAGAGAATCTAAATCATATTCACCAACCAAGTTATCTGGAGCAACAATACTTCCTTTATCTGAAGGTAGTTTAATACAATCATGAAATAGAAAAGCTTAGAATAGAACGGTAGAATGGTAAATGTAATAAAATACTATTGGCTTGTACGTAGCGAACGCAAATTTTTTATTTAAATATTCAGTAATAAAAAAATCTGTGTTGAATTGAAGAAGGCGCTTTTCAATTGAAGTGGCGCAAATAAAAATTTATTCAAACTATTTCATTGATAGCAATTTTGAATTGAATGGAAGTCTTATACTTAGGGATGTAAGTTTCGAATATTTTTTTTTCGAATCGAATTTCGAATCACAATGTTCCGATTCGAATATTTCCGAATCTGATTCTATTTAGTATATCATCATATCATCGTTAACTATCTTCAAATTTGGAAGAAATATCGTATAAATTTTGATAAAATAACAATAATGAGCTTGAAGAATGAAGAGAGTTACTAAAATAACACAAGGCGTGTATGTATTAACTACCAGATATATTAAGGCTAAATATATATATTATATTGTTACATAAAGGTATACTCAGGTACATAATTACTTACATACAATTATGTTTGCAAACAATACAGGGTGTATAGCGATTGTTTCTTCTAAAATTGACCTTCAAAATTCATCCAAATGATAAACGCTAGTTAGTACCGTATGTGCCATGATTTTAAAAGAAGCAATGGTAACGTGGGAAGCATCGCAGACATGTTTATAAGGAGTAAATCAGTGATGTTTTATTGTAATCATATTATGTAGATAATTTGAAAAAACGTTTATATATTAAAATATTTGAAAACTTTGTAACATTTCGAGTAGTCGAACAAAATTGGGCAAAACCATTGGTCCCGCGAAAGCTGCTACCAAAATAAAATATAACGACTCTGGGAGTGACAAGGCTTTGGAAAGCTGTAAACGCCAGGAAAACAAACGCTTTTGGTCGATTTCAAAGCAGCGCCGCTGTGGTGTGCATTTGCCTTGTGTTATCTATAAAATTCTTTTTAAATAGAATCAAGCCTCTTTTTCCTAAATTGCTTTGAATCGATTCGAATTGATGTTGATTCGAATCGCTTCGATTCGAAATTCTGAAACTTACATCCCTACGTTATACTTGGGAAGACTAATGTTCGAATATGGTAATTATCAAAAGCTGCTCTTTAAAGAGTATCAAGATATGATATTTGGGAGGCATATAACGTGTCAGATTGAACAATACAAGCCTGAACATTTTTATTTATCATTAGCATGTACACTAGCTCGAAGTTTATAAAGTCGGTGCTCCAGAAGTATGGCACCAAGATGTCGCACAACCTGAATCCTAACCGGTACACGCATACTATGTTCAGGTCGTGCGCCATCTTGGTGCGCATACATCCAGAGGTCCAAAATGTCAAATACCCAAATTTAATTTTAAATAGGTAGTAGGCATTCTCTAAACATGCGTTACATTATAATCTGGCCAGCCTGCATATGATAAAGAAGTAAATATCATAATAAAATAATAATTAATTCCTCTACTGTTATTTTGTAGGTGGTGTTCACTCAGTATTAAACAAAAGGCGGCAGTCTATGGATCCCAAACTAACTAGCAATCGACATTCACATTCCAATTTCTCAAGACAATATTCAACTCAGCATTCCACAGGATGGAAAAGTAGACTCGGAAGTTTTTTGAAGAAAAGCACTCCAGCTCCTACCAATAATGTGGTGGACGACAAACCATCAAAATGTTTGTGTTGTTTTTATTTCCCGTTAATAATAAACGACATATTCACTGCTTACACACATTGTCACGTTACACATACTACAACTCGGTGTTCGCAATCTTGGTTCTCTCATTCGGGAGTACCGTTTTTAATTTGATTATCATTATTAACATCTATTTGGAAATTTTGGAAGTTTGACTCTCATAGTCAGCGAAAGCCAACAATTCATGCAATATTTCTGTTTCAGCGTCTCTACGTCGATCTCAGAGTGATGATTCATTATTATCTTCACACAGTGCAAGGCAAGATAGTGATGATGAAGATATGAAGGATAAGGTAGTATTAAGGCTTATATTTGAGAGATGTTGAATCATAGTCATTCTTCTTTAAAGTACAAGGTCCTGCATATTGTAAAATTCGAGTCATCTTGTGTTAAAGCAATGTTATTTTGAAAAGTTCTCAGCGTTGTGGGCTTGTGGCACATTGTGCTAAGCGTTAGGATTATGCTTGCTATCGCACCTCTGAATACCTTGTGTGGGTTCGCATATTCGAATTCTGTGGAGGAAAATTATGTGCAAGAGGATGGACTCATCGCTGCCTTAGGGTGATTAACGTAAGAACTGGATGATTACGGATTTCTCCATCATCAAGTCCAACCAGGCATGGACTGGTAACCGGATGAGAGGCTATGGTTTCGCATATGAATAAGCTGTCTTATCATTTTTTTCCCCGGGATGGATATGTAAATCTTATACTAAAATCAAACTAGGATTTATTCATGTATTTCAAGTTATTGCTGCAACAAGCTATTGAAATTTGGATTTTTCTCCTAGTTAGCATTAATTAATGTGGTGAATCGTATTTCACTTAGCGATTTTGGTATTTTAGAGATTCCCTCAAAATTATTGGTATGTCTCAAGTGTGGTCAAGTTTGAGTCTGGGTGATTCGAGTCTCTGAAAACGACTTTGATGATCCCCGATACTGCTATTCACTCACCCCATGATGTAAAACATTTCGTTTTATTTTAACTAAGCAGTTATAAAAAAAAATTAGAATAAAATGTTTAATCAAATGATTATTATTAATTTAATCATTCAATAATTAAAAGTAATTTGAATTAAGGAAAAGGTTGAAACATCACAAACTCCTCCTACGATGAGACAAGGACAGAGTCCAAGAAGTCCCAGACCAAAAGGCAGAGTATTTACAATTGGAGATGACGATATTGAAATCCACCATATTGACACGGACGATGAAGATGCAAATCCAACTCTAGTACCAACTCGTGATATAAATAATCAAAAAAATTTTAATCACAGGTAGAAATATTTTCATGACAATTTTTAAATAATTTTCACCAACAACTGACTGACTATTTGGTCTAGGAATGTGGAATCGAAGTTTTGCATGTTCTCACTAGAGTTGTAGTCGCATTTTCGAACTCCGTGTCAAAATTATGAATTTGGCACAGTTAGAGTTGCAGACTCTTAATTGTGAGGGAATGATGATAAAAAATTCAAAATTACTAAAACTCCAAAAGCAACAAGTATTCTTAACAGCCCATTAATGAAGGCTCGCATATGCCAGAGTTTTCGCTAAAAATTTGAATTTTTTCGAGTTTGGATATGGAGTAGAACTTTTTACAACCCGAGTCGAGAGTTAGATTCAAAGTTTTTTTGAGTCGATTGTCCATTTTCACTGCCTTCACACCCCTGTTTATGTATCTGAAGATAAATAGTGCTTGGACATACCACTGAATAAATCATGCTATGAAATTAACTCCCTACCTTGTGGTATTAATTTAGTTCAATAAGGCCATGTGCAATTCTTCCTTATGACATTTTGCACACCTCTCACCCCAAACAAGGCTTTGTATAAGTCTCCACAAATATGATAGGAGCTGCTATTTTTTGAAAGTGAAACCTCTTGACTCGACATCACCTACCTAATTTGTTACACCATGCGTGAGGTGTTTGACATGGGATTTGAGTTTTTACCCTGAGATGCCAACATAATTAGGTCCAATACTTTAGCTACGAGGCCACCTTGATTGACTTGGTCCTTCTTAAAATACCTCACCAATTGAGCGACCAATTTTTTGTAAGTTTATATTTTATTTTATGTATTTCTCTTTAGCAATACTCCAGACAGCATTACATCACCATCAGCAGAAACAAATACCAGCAACCCGTTCTCCGGTTTGGATTCTGATTTTCCAGCAGTGATGGGAGAGTCTGGACTTGGGTTTAATCCACTACAATACAGCCCGACTATGTCATCAGATTCTGGTGAAATTTCAATTACCAATATATTCAATTACCATACATTTAATATAATTGATTACTGATTTAATTGCTAGTTGTGGTTATTTGGATTTCTGTATCTGTACAGTTGGGTAGTGAATCGCGCGTCACAATTATTTTCGTTTTCGATTAAACAATATAGATCAGGGGTGGGCAAATTATGGCCCGTGGGCCGTATGCGCCCCACTGTAGTGTTTCCACCGACCCACTTGTGTCAATTATAGTTTCTATAGATATAACTTTTTTTTGAAAACATCAATGAAAATACCGTTATAGTGACCCTGATTATTACATTGTTCGTATTATTATATAAACATCAGTCTAGCTTTTGTAAATAAACTGTTTTCTTTCCAACAGATTTTTTTCATATTGAGTTCTAAGCCTCAGATCCAGTAACCAGGTCTATTTTTTGTAATTGGCCCACTCAAAAAAGTAATTTCCCTCCCCTGATATAGATGTATTGCATTGAATTGATGCATTCAAATGTACAAGAATTATATGTCAAATTCATACATAATTCTAAATCATTACATCTTATTTTTTTATGAACAGGAATTCCAGACATTCCCAGAAGCTCTACTGATGAAATGATTTCGAATAAATCAACCAAAGAAAATCTCTTCGAAAACAAATCTACTGTTAATGGTCATCATACAATGGGAGAAGACAATTCTATTAGAAGAAGTATTGGAAATTTAGCTGATATTAAAACAATAAACAACGGATCGACTGGTATCTCGGCAAACACTAATAATTTTGATAATAAGCGGAATTCTGAAAAAATTGAAAAATCTGATATTAACACTTTGTATCTGAATTCAAAAATTGAAGATATTTTGAATGCGAATGTGAAAATCAAAGAATTAGCTAACGCAAGTCAAAATGACGACAAAATACATGAAAAAAGAGACAATGATATGAATGGTAAATGTGACAAAGAAAAATTTCAAACTGTCGTTAATGTCCTATCATCGCATCACAATAATGCTGCCAATAATAATAACAATGACCAAGAGAAAGCAAAGCGGAAAAAATTACTGAAAAAACAGAAATCAGAGGAACTCGAATCATCTACTATCTCAAATGTTTCATATTATTGGAAATCCGATGAAATTGATAGGTTGAGTGAGATTGGTGACTCATTTAATGAGCAACAAGACAAAAACAGAATGCCAGGTGTTCATAGGAGCAGAGTGAAAAAACAATTGAGTGTGCCTGTTGATTTACCACCCTCTGGAAACTATTCGGTGCAATATGCCTGTAGCCAACACAAATCTAATGGAAGGATGCGACAATCCATAACAGCCACTTTCATTCAAGATAGGCCATTGGAATCAAATATTCGCAGACCGCATAGTATAAGAAGATGCATGGACGTTCCACCGACGGAAGTTTCACGTCCATCTAGTAAACGACAATACAGTGGATATAAGTGGCATCGGCCAGTCTCGAAAGATAATATTCCGAAACCCACACGCCTACATTCTAGGTCTCTTTCCACCGGTGATGAATTAGATTTCGTAGACAAGCGACCTGTACCGACTCCGCGGAGTAATTCAGTAAAACCAATTCCAATGCCAAGACGTCAGTTATTTTTAGAAACAGAAAAAGAGTTTTCTAAATCTAAAAAGCAATTTGGGGATGCAATTGCGATTCAGTTTCACTCGCGAGCGTCATCAGCGCCATCTACGCCAGTAGACGCTCACTTAACCAGACCCAAAAATTTTGATACTACTTTGATTACAGAAAAATTAGCTGAAGAAAATTCAGACTCACCTGTTATCGAAAATGTAACGATTATATCTGATAATCTTATTAATTTTGACAGTGGGGTTTACGATAGCAAAAGCACGATATTGAAAAAACCTTTGTCGAAGACAAATTCTGCCGCTTCTGGTATTGTTTCACCGTCTGATAATGTCTGTGCGTCTACTGTTTTGTCTTGGGTTTAGCGTTAGCGATGTCTTTTTTATATCTTTATCTATTTGTAATATTATTACATTTTCTTCAGAACAACATTTCCTTTTTTGTTTCTTATTTTATTCTGATTCGTCATTTTCTTTCTGCAAGCAATTGCTTCTTTTTGTAATTGAAGTTTCATTTTCATATATGTCTTCTTATGATGATTCTATTCTTGGTGTATTTGGTATTGCCTGACCATGACATTTGTATTGGTAGTCGAAAGCCAAATCATTTCCAACTTTCAAAATGAATCGTGATTTATGCTTGTTGATTTTTTTTATTCATCTGATTCTGTTACATTGGCTACCATGGTACAATTGTATGGTAAAACCACTTCAACATTATTTATGATTAGAAAAATAATTGTATCTTGTCCTTTTAATCCTAAATAATTAATTCTACCTATTCTGTATCTACCCTAAGTGAGAACCTATTCGTTTTTGATTGGGTATAGGTACTTGTCTTTATTTATGATAGAAATTTGTAGATTAGTATGAGAACCTTCACATGTCTCTGCATAACATTTATAATTTGATTCTAAGTATTCTTTTTTCACATCCATACTTTCATGTTTAATTTCAAGAATTTGCAAAATTGATATTTTGATGCATAGCAATGCAATCAATTTCAAGCCTATTGTAGCAAATTGGCCTCAGTTACCACTCCAAATTTATTTTTAGAATAATGTCAGTGGTTTGTTGTTTTACTACATTAATATTGACTACTGGTTATTTTTTCAATCTATCTTTCAAAATTTCAAGAAGTTACTATGTTTTGCTATGTAGCCAAAAGACTCTTCACATATTGTGACAGAATTTGGGATTGAAATTAAAATAGCAGTTCATTCATGTGCAGGGAGGATATGGTGCATTGGTTAAACTCAAATTTCCATGGATAACACTTTCGAAACTTGAGCCACTAGCAATTTAAACTTATAGATTAATGATATCTTTCAAAATTGTTAATTTATTTCATTGAATATCACTCACATTATGTCGGAATAGCAAACCTCGGCAACTTCGATTATTGGTCTCTACAGAATTCTGGTATGAAACCAATTGGAATTCAAAATATTTAACAAACATGTTATCACTAATTTGCCAATAATTTGGTAGAATTTTAAAATATGGCTTATTCTATATAATATACGATATACGAAGTTATTTGGATATGTTTATTCCCAATGATTGCTTTATTTTGTAGAAACTGTGATTATTAAGGTTAATAATGCCTTAAATTAAATTGAAGTATGTGTTACTAGGTGATACTTATTTTAAATATTTCTAAGAATTGAAGAATCTAATTTTTTTTGACAGTCCAAATTGTTACAGTTTCATATTCAAATTTTATTGCCAAGTAATTATCAATGCAACTATGGTCTACATTCAACATGAATGTGGATCAGGGGTCGGCGGACTGACCCCCGATGTAGATGTTTCAAATGGTAAGGTCCGTGAGCAGTAGGTATAATCACCCCACAAATTCAACATTGATAAATGACTTCATGTTTGGATACCCACAATAAAATTATAATTTTTTTGATGGGTTCTCTTGAGAAAAATTCTTCTCTTTCAAATGCATTGCCCCTATTTGAACCCAACCTATGCTCATTTTCCGACCGGAGTGGTGTTGGCAAATCAGTAGTTTGGCTATTCAGGTTTGATTGTATTGCCACTTTTAACATTGGTTAGGTCTGTTTTGTACTGGGTTATTATCATACCATGGTGATATAGTTTGGTTGAGAAATAGTCTCATTTCGTATAGCAATTAAGATATTCATGATTCCACAATCACATGATGATCGTTGGTCGTGTCTAGAGTTTTTTTTACTTTTACTCGCTTCACCTTCATCATCACATATTTAGTATTTCATAGATTCTACCAATTCTATGTCATTCTGATAAATTGTTGAAACTGAGGATGAATAGTTTCAGATATATATAAAAATTTCATAAATTAGCAGCAAGTTTCCTAATCTCCGTTACTATTAATATCATATTTTCTTTATTTTTGTAAGTTGTTGCTGCCATCTGTTAAATATACATTTCAAATAAAATCAAAGTTGTTTCTTGTTACGATGTAAAGCGTTGACTATGTAGTATTATCTGTGTACTAAAGGTGCCTAAATACCATTGAGTGCATGTATCTTGAACGAATAACTGGTTAATTTTGACCGGACGAGAGAACGGGGTTCGTCATATGATATCGTCTTTCCTATCCCCGGGATAAATGTGAAACTGCTATTTTATGTCAGGAAAATATACCGTGATTCGGGTAAATTGATAATTACGAGGGTGATTACTGTAATTGGGGTTTTTAGTGGAAATGGCCCCACTGACAGTCTAGCGCAGGGGTGGGCAAGGGTCAAAGATTTTTCCCACCTACACTGCCGGGCCATGTAAGTGTGACGTGAAAAGTTACATTTTATTAACAATATTCAAAGTGTTATAAAATAAAAGGCGGAAAACAATAAGCCTCGTGCCCAAACTAAATTCAATCGCAAGCTCAACGAATTCCTTCAGCCATATTTTCAGCTAAATCATAAAAATTAGGTGTTAGTTCGGTTGTGGCAGCACCAGACGGGCCAGGCTGAATTGTCCTGTGGGTCGTAGTTTGCCCATGTCAGGTCCAGCGTTATACAATCATTAAAAACTTGTCATTTATAAAGTCTATATTGCCTAAATTCAGGTCGATGATTTGCCAGAAAAGAGGTTGTATTGAGATACAAACAACGAATCATTATGACGGCCGCAAATATGTCGTGTTGGGAATAAATTGGTTTGAGACAAGAAGCCTATAAAGACCACCCCCAAAATGCGTGTCATTCCGGATTTGCGATCCTGCATCACTCTGCTGCGAAGAATGTACTTTTATCCTATGTGTTGTTAGAGTTATTTATCTCGCAAATGGTGTTTCATTTTAAACGAACTTATACGGTCGTGAAAAGGTTGCGTTGGGGACAAATTGGTTTGAGACAAGAAGACCAGCCCCAAATGGTGTGTCATTTTGTGCTTTGCGATCCTCCATCACTCTGCTGCGAGGAATGTACGCTTATCCTTTTTGTTGTTAAAGTTTTTCATCCCGCAAACGGTGTTTCACTTTGAAACTAATGAACAAACATTCGTGACCAGCATGACAATTACATCGGTGTTTTCTTTGTTAATTCTCGAGCTTATGTCTTTCTTTATTTTCCGGGTTAAGTTTAAACATCGATACCTTTCGATCGATCGTAGTTTAAAACCCAATAGCAGTTTGTGTATGTGCGTAGGGAAACATGTGACGCGCGACCATGCGATCGCTATTATGTATTATCGCTATTATGATGTCAGATGACGCCGGCTTTGTCACGTAGAGAGCAATATTGCACCACCAGACAGCAATAATATTTCATACCACCAAGCACAGGGCATGCTTGGTTGAGGCTACTGGCGCGTGCTTTTAAAAAGTAATGGTGCATACCGCTCTATGTTGATGAATAATTGATATGGAAAGAATAAAACGCCAAGACTTAATGGTTTCAAGGTTAACAATACCGGTCTGTAGGGAAAAAATATTAGCAAAGAGAAAATGACAATGAATTGACTCTTGCTTTTATTTATTTTTCTGTCGAAGTTACTAGTTTCTTTTGTTATCTTTAAAGCGCACGCCGCACACTCAAGTCACACGACTTGCGTTTATAAATACTGTACCAGCGTTTTGGAACCAGTGACTTCTTGTTGTGCTGTGGGAGAGCTCATCATGGCAAGGCGTAAGTCTCTCACGCTTTCTTCGTCAAAACGATTCGGCAAATACAAGGATAAATACAAATAACATTGGCTCAATGATCTGCAAGCTTACTTCGCTTTCGGGTCTGCATTCATGCTGACCCAACCCCCCAAATGCTCTCCCACAAACGGTCCTTGATCTGATCGCCCACAGCGGCCGTGCAACCGTCCGCAAGGACGCTTTACGGCGGGCGTGAAGTCCCAGGGGCCACCAGAGGCTCAAAAACTTACGCAAGAGATGTTTTTATAACCAACTCTCTTGCTGAGTGCCAATTGGTGGCTACTGTGGAACATCAACTTGGGGAATATTGGTATTCTTAATAGTCTAATTTTCACACTGAAATGATAGGGCTCTTTCGAGTTATATAAATTTGTTCCTAAGCCCTTTGATGACACGGTTTAGTTAGCAAACCAGAACTTTCCCAATTTTTGTTTCTACTGCGATATTACGCTTCGACAAGTTGAAACCTCTCATTTCAGTTCGCTGAATTATGTCCAAAAATCCCGCAAAGCGTCCATACACTATCCTCACAAAAAAACATCATAGCGGGTGCTTCAACCTGTCAAGTGCGCAAGATCATTATTCAATTCTAACACAATTTCTACACTATCAGAACAGTACCAAATACGTTTAGTCTACGTTGTGACTTCAATCATGTCGGCACTTTTTGCCTACCCTGCAAAGTAACATGTTGGATACTTTATATAAGTGACCTAAACTAGAATATACTATCAATTGAATTCAGGTAACAAAGTCAGAAGTATTCCGTTGTTTATAGTAGTTCTATAGCACACTGTGCGAACCGCTGTGATAAGACATATTTAGTTATTCCATTCTTCAAGTTGTTTGGAATATCACGTTCCGTGTTTTCCCGAAAATAAGACCTAGCCTTATTTTAAAAATGATTTTAATATAAGCTCTCCCCTTAAAATAAGACCTAGTTGACGAAGCAAACTTTTTTTGACCTAGTCGATGGCGAGAAATCCCTTCTACGTTTTAAATGATTAATAATTACGTTTGGCAGTAATTTTAAATAAAAACGTGTTATGAATGTATATCGTATGTAAATGAAGGTCGGTTTTCATATTTTGTATATTTGAAAATGTCGTAATTTTCTGCTTTGTAATTATATTTTTGATAAATGAAAATAAAAGACATCCGCTAAAATAAGCCCTTGTGTTATTTTTCGAAAAAAAATTGAAATAATACCCTGCATTTGGAAAATGTTGTTTGCTAATTTGCCCGCATTTTATTTGGTATACCTACTGAGCCTCATTGTCCAGAACTACTTAAAATGAATGATTTATCAAAGCGGGTTATAGGAGGGAGTACTATTTGGCCTCGCTGTGTCATTGGTCTGTTGACTTTAATTGCTTCGTGTTTGCGTTGCGAGACTTGTGGCTGACGCCAGTTATGCGACACTCTGTTGTAAGGCATTGTGCGCGTAGCGTGCTATGACAACGGTTCATTATTTGACTTCTACCAATGCCTTTCGCCTTTTCAAACTTTGTCCGGATGTTAGTTCTCTTTTCAATGTGTTTTCTCACTTGGTCGATGGAGCTGTAGATGATAATATTGCGCCATGGTTTTATTAGCTCAGCCAGTATCGTACGAAATATAATAATACTGTTTGGTCTTTGCCAACGATAAATATAAATACCGGTAGCTGAGGTTTTGGGTCAGAGACTTTTTGTTGTGCTGTGGGAAGGTTCAACATGGCAATGTCCCTCACGCTTTCTTCGTTCACGAATCGATATGGTCGATACAAAGATAAGTACTACATAGCTTACTTCCCAACTGGGTCTGCATTCATGTAGATCCGCCCCCCAAAATGCCTTCCCACAACCGGTCTCTGGTCCGATCGCCCACAGCAGCCATGCAATCATCCTTTGGGATGCTTTATGGCGGGCGTGAAGTCCCAGGGGCCACCGCAGGCTGAAATCCTTTTCACGACAGCGTTAAAGTGTACTGGCTGCGTTGAAAGGTGCCGAGTGGTGGCCTCCGTGGAATATCATCAAGAAGATCGAAAATGAAAACATTTGCGATTACAGTGCTAATCTTTTGTATATATTTGTTTCAAAGGAAAGTTCACAGACGCCTGATTTAAAAGGGAAAACTAGCAAATCTTGGCGGCAACGCTATGAGTTAAATATAATTTTTCAATTGATTGTGTAGGGTTAACGCGAAACTTAGTTCAAAAAGCAGGTGTTTCAAATAAAAATCAGAAAACTTCCTCGATAAAATGATGCCTACTTTCAAGCCTGCAACTTGATTCGAAGACTGAGGGAGAATAAAAAACTAAAACTCTATTTACTTTTAAATATAAAAAATTATATCTTACATCGATTTTTCATAACAAAATTGAAAGTCCGAGATTTGCAGTAGGCTACAACTTTAATTTGTTTGTTTAATTTGTCACAAAACACTGACCAAAGCAAATCAATGCAGACATTTCAGTGAATATATATGTTCGTAATAGTAATGGTACCTTTACAAAGTTGAGTTATTACCCGCCTCTCTTGGAGATCAAAATTCCACCACGACTAAATGTTAAAACAAATACATCACGACAGCGCTACACATTGTTATCCCATCGTTACAGCATATATCGTTAATATAAAACCAAATGGGGCGTCGACTGATTGATTTTATTTTCCCAACTGTTTCCTTCTTCATACTCGAATTGGCTCAGATCCATAGGATTTGACGAAGGAAGACAGTATTATTTTGATAAACTCCGAAAACATTTATAGCTAATTCAAATTCTTATATATTTGATTTTTCCTTACGTATTGCGAATATGACAGATTTTGTCGACCAGTGGAAGAGCCTTAGCTAGGCTTACCATACGTCCCGCTTTTCAGCGTTTTGTCCCGCCGTCCCGATAAGTCAGCCAAAAGTCCCGCTTTTCCAGCATAATACACAAACATGTTCTCGTTACTGTTGTTTCTGTGTAGCGCAGCGCTAGCCTACTCACTGAAGGTGAATGCGTTCGTTTCCCGCTGATTCCCATTGATGGCAGACGTATCGCATGTAAAACCAATACTAATTAGTCTAAATTCGAATTATTTGTAACGGTATCGTTAACGTCAATTCCTTCCTATTTTTCGAACTGAACACGATATTTGGACAGAGAATATGCGCATGAAATTTCGATAACAATATTCTCAATATAGACAGCCGAGACAGCTTTAAATGTAGGAATGTAGGCCTATGTATTAAAATCGGAAAATGTGAAGTTATAAAATCACAGCTAAGGGGTCGTTGTCTTTCAAGGCGTCCCGATTCGAAGTCAC